ATGAAAATAGATGGAAAAACAATGGAAACAGTGACAGACTTTATTTTTAGGCTCCAAAATCACTGCAGATGGTGACAGCAGCCATGAAATTAAAAGACACTTGCTCCTTGGAAGAAAAGCTATGGCCAACCTAGATAGCATATTAAAAAGCAGAGACATTACTTTGCCAACAAAGGTCTGTCTAGTCAAAGCTATGGTTTTTCCACCTGTCATGTATGGATGTGAGAGCTGAACTATAAAGAAAGCTGAGCACTGAAGTATTGATGCTTTATAACTCTGGTGTTGGAAAAGACTCTTGAGAGTCTCTTGGAATGCAAGGAGATCAAACCAATCCATCCTAAAGGAAATCAGTCCTGTATAGTCATTGGAAGGACTGATGCTGAAGCTGAAGCTCCAATACTTTGGCCACCTGACGCGAAGAACTGACTCATTGGAAAAGACCCTGATGCTGGGAAAGATTGAAAGCAGGAGGAGAAGGGGATGACAGAAGATAAGATGGTTTGATGGCATCACCAACTCGATGGCATGAGTTTGAGCAAACTTGGGAGTTGGTGATGGACAGGGAGGCCTCTTGGGCTGTAGTCCATGGGGTCACAGAGTCGGACACTACTGAGCAACTGAACTGAACTGAACTACTAAATATCCAACTCTTTAAAACTTCAAAGGACATGAAACTCAAGGAAAGATGGAGTACCTCTTACTAACTGGAAAAGACTGAAAATATTAGGGAGCAAAGACAATGTGAATTGGATCCTGGAACCTAAAGAAAAAAAAAAAAGTTAATGAAACAAATAATGAAGTAAGAATCTATAGTTAAGAATATTGTACAAAATTAATTTATTTGGCTTGATAATTGCACTATGGTTATAAAAGATATTAGGGGACATTGTGTAATGGATATATGAAAAATTTTTTTGTAGGTTTAAGTAACTTTTTATAAATCTAAAATTATTTCAATATATGAAGTTCAAAAAGAATATAAAAGTACTCTTTCCGTTTCATTGATTTGATCATTTATGACTTCTTTCATGCATCAAACTTTGTTAAGAACGAGTCATATACTGGACACGATTAAGGATGGAGCAGTGAACATACCAGATAAAGTCAATATTTTTATGGAGCTAATAATCTAGATTAATCCAAATCAGGAAATTTAAGACAGACAAAGATATAAGAAATGAATGAATTAATTTCTGATAGTGATGGGTTTATGTAAACACTAAACCATTGTCAGTTATGGGGAATTTAAAGACTTATTTGTAAGGGATGTCTTCAAACTGAGTAGTCAGAAAAAGCTTCTCCAGGAGAAGAGAGAATGCAAAGTCATTCTGGCTGTTACTTCAAGGACTGGAGGGTGGAAAACCTAAAGTGGAAACAAAGTGGGTCTATTTGAAGGACTGAAAAGCCACTCATAGATGTGTGAATTTTTAATGGAGAGGAAAGGGATTACCAGATGAACTGATGGATGTGGTCATAGCTTTGACTTGTTGATTATGTCAGCTATGTTTCCCAAGATGTATCCAGGTATTGCACATAAAAGTGCAAGGAAATCAGTTAAATCTGAATGTCACATAAACAAATTATTTTTAGTATAAGTATCCCTCTTGCAATCTTTGGGAAATCCAATCTTCTGAATTTCAGATTTGAAATTCAATATTTTGAAATTGAAATCTAATTGCATGTCTGGTATCTACTCTAGCAATCCCAATGTGGAACACTTACAGGATTTTGGTAAAGGAGAATTAGATCTAATTTGTGCCATGCGTGCTATGAGATGGAAAAGAAATTAGGCTAGGGAGTGTACAGAATGATGAATGCAATTTGTCTTAAATTTTTAATCACTATTCATATATGAAAATAGCAGTGTTAATTTGAAGATATGTGGAAAATATTGGAAATATATATGAAAATTATATATGAAGTAATAAGACTGAAAATGGAGTTGAAATTGATTGAACAAAAGAATGCATCCATAGTGCTCTAATTAAACAGAGTTTAGGTAGAGACTAGAGATTATGAGTGGGTTGAACACATCTCTGGGAACTCTAAGATTTGAGGGCAAAATCTGAGAGGATTAGAGAGGATACTGAGAAGCAGCAGCTGCTGAGGTGGGAAATGAACCCAAGCTGTGTGCATAGGGTGAAGTTAAAGGTTGGAGTTTTTAGGGATAAAAAAAGAGGTTGGTGGATCTATATGTACTCAGAAGCTGGGGAAAATGAATGCTTGACCTCTGTATTTGACAAGACTCAGCAGTTTTTGTTTGCTTGTTTTGTATTTGGCCATGCCACATGGCATATGGGATCTAAGTTTCCCTACCAGGGATGGAACCCATACCCCCTGCAGTGGAAGCATTGAGTCTTAACCACTGGACCACCAGGGAAGTCTTGATTATCTCTGCAGGAGCATTTCAGTAGAGCAGTGGAGGCCAAAAACCCAAAATTATGATTGAAGTGCTAAAGAGATACTAAAATGCCTCAATGAAAGTATACATATGACATTTTACAGTCATATGTATAAGCAGAATATGGGAATAGAGATTCCTTTGAAGGGTATGAAGGGTGAAATAAGACTTGCTTTATTTTTTGGAATATATTTGAGAATTTAGTATATCCAGAACAACACACTAGAAAAGAATGGAAAAAAAAAAGTGATGCTGTCCAAAGCTCACACCAATATGATCAGAGAGGGCAACTCAATTAAGAGGAAGCAAATTAATTCCTGAAAATAAATAATAGGAGAAAAAAATCTAGTAAATGTTATTAGGAATATTGTGTTATAAAAAAAATGTATTCTATATTTTAAAATCAGAAACACAAAACTACAGGTTACTTGTAGTGTTTTTTTAAAAATTAACTGATATAATTATGGCTTACCAAAATTAGTCACTGTTCTAAGGACTTAAATATCCTTGAAGACTAATTGTTCTGTTATTTCAACTAGTTTTTACTAAAAAATTAAGTTATTGTTTGACTTATTTTGCACTGTGGAAGCTGAAGCCTTTGCTAGTTTCTATATGAGAAATTGAAGATGCCCTCTGCTTACAATATCTCAATCCAGTAGATAGGGAATTAAATGTCACAATAGAATATTTATGTTACGAAAATGCACCTAACAAGAAACACACATGGAAAATAGATTCAAAAACACATGATGGAAAAACAGTTGAATGCTCTAAAGATCTGATCTCCAGCATGAAAATACTTTTGTGTTTCATTAAGATGCTATGTTCTCTTGACCCATTTGCATAGTTATGAATGAATCAGGTAACTTAACAAAATCTATGTCCATGTTGTGATGATCCCCAGAGAGAGTTGACTGAAGTTCAGAGGATGTCTGAATTCTTAAACCATCTTCACTGCAATGTAAACCAGTCCCAAATTTTACTCTCTAATTCCTATCTAAGGTTACCTGAAGAGATAGTCACTCAGTGGTATTTGACTCGTTGCAACCCATGAACTGTGGCCCAACAAGCTTCTCTGTCCATGGGATTGCCCAGGCAAGAATACTGGACTCAGTATTTCCTTCTCCAGGGCATCTTACTGGCCCAGGGATCAAACCCAGGTCTCCTGCATTGTAGGCATATTCTTTACCATCTGAGTCACTAAGGAAGCCCGTGGTTACCTGAAGTTACCTATAAAAATAATATTTTGAAGAAGAATTACCACTGTATATCAGAAATTCTAGTGATGTACAAAGAAAGCTGCTTTCCCACAAGGATTTTCTTAAAGACACAGAAATACACTTTTTAATCTATAACCCTACTACCATTTTTCTTTGGCTACCCAAAAGGATGAGTTTCACAGCCATTTGAATGAAGACAAGTTGTAATTCAAGGGCTATGCAAGAGAGCTCAGTATAGCAGGTTACAAAGCTTTTCATTTGATGTATTGAGGCTGAAACTCCAATACTTTAGCCACCTTATGCGAAGAATTGACTCATTTGAAAAGACCCTGATGCTGGGAAAGATTGAAGGCAGGAGGAGGAGTGAACGACGGAGGATGAGATGGTTGAATGGCATCATGGACTCAATGGACATGAGTTTGAGCAAACTCCTGGAGTTGGTGATGGACAGGGAGGCCTGGCGTGCTGCGATTCATGGAGTCACAAAGAGTCGGACATGACTGAGCGACTGAACTGATTGAACTACTTGACTGATTGAGAAAGAAACACTTCTCTAATTTATTATTAACACAAACATGAAAGTTGAAAAGTCACTTAAAAAATTAACTAATTACTTAGGGGGGAAAAGGAAAATGTAGAAATTGGGTTCCAGAGAACTACTTCTATTATGTTCTTCACTAGAAGTTGAACATAAATAAAATGTACACTCATCGATACATAAGAAAGTAGAAGGCATTTTTTTTCAGAACTGACTCCCCTGACATTTTAATAAGTAAAATAATCAACTTTGTGGACATGAAAGATCCATTATGATTTTGCTTAGAAAAGACACTGGATTCCTGAAGAAAAGCAACAATTTAGATAAAAATTTAAGATTCAAAGGAATTTTTTTGGTATAAAGTGCTACAAAATAACAACCTTAGTGATCCAATTGGATCCTAGGGATCCAATAAATAACATATCTTCTTTTTAAGATATAAGGAATGGTTCTAAGAAGTTAAAATGAACATGTAATCTGGGACAGGACTGTGTAGGTGTGAGTTTATGTCTCCCCTAATTTAAATGCTCAATTAAACAAAAGGAATCCAAACTCAGATGTCAACACAGCAAAGCTGCTGAATTTCTCTGAGGTTTCATCTTTGGTTGTGAACAACAAACTAATTAGAGTGGTCATAAAGCTAGCCAGTGGCATGAAGGTGTGGTGGGTCACACCCACACTGAGGGCGTATAAAAGGCCCTCTGCAGGGAGAGCTCTCCACACTCAAGTGACACTTCTACTCTCCTTCTCCACCCGAGAACAACCTCAACAACCAACACCATGTGTGGCTACTACGGAAACTACTATGGCGGCCTGGGCTGTGGAAGCTACGGCTACGGAGGCCTGGGCTGTGGCTATGGCTCCTGCTATGGCTCTGGCTTCCGCAGGCTGGGCTGTGGCTACGGCTGTGGCTACGGCTATGGCGCCCGCTCTCTCTGTGGAAGTGGCTACGGCTATGGCTCCCGCTCTCTCTGTGGCTGTGGCTATGGATGCGGCTATGGCTCTGGCTCTGGCTACTACTATTGAGGACGCTGTGGAAGACCCTCATCCTCTACACCTGGATACCAAGATTCACCAGCTCTGAAGTCCTCATGTTCTGTGTCTGTGCCCTGGATGATAATTAGGCGGCATCATGGGAGTTTAGTGTGGTCTATTGTGGACCTGCCATCTAACCTATGCATTTCCCAGAACTTACCTCATTAAGTGGATAAAGTGAAATTTGCCTGTGAACTCAACAGTTCTTCTTTGATTAGAATCATGATATCATAGTAACTTGATGCTTTCATCCTGGAGCTTGTTTGTTTTTTGATCTAATAAAATTAATCAATCCAAAGAGCAATCCTGGTTTTTAAGTCAGTTATTTGATGTTCAATATTACCTACACACTTTTCTTGGGCTGAATTCCATTCTGTGTGGTTATGTAACTGAGGGGCTCAACACTGACTATTGGTGGGAGGCATTTGTAAGCTGACTACTAGAGGCCACTCTCAGCTTTAGGAGGCTGCCTGTAGTTCCTTACATGTTTGCTTGTCTATTCAAAGCCCAGAATGGTGGGAAAACACTCCAGTAAGATGGGCACTATGGTGGTGGTGGTTTGCTCGCTAAATCCTGTCTGACTCTTGAGACCCCATGAACCTTCTGTTCATGGGATTCTCCAAGCAAAAATACTGGAGTGGGTTGCCATTTCCTTCTCCAGGGGATCTTCCTGACCCAGGAGTTGAACCCAGGTCTCCTGCACTGCAGGCAGATTCTTTACCAGCTGAGGTATGAGGGAAGCCCAAGATGGGCACTATAATCCCATACAATTTTATGTAACATAATCACATAAACAATCAAATGTTTCATCACTTTTTCTGTATAATATTAGTTAGAAGTAATTTACATATCTTGTCTATACTCAAGAGGAGGGCATCACACCAGGCCATTGACATCAAGAGGAAGAAATCATAGTGGTATCTTAATTGTTTACCTAGCACTGATATCAATGCTATGCATCCTTTCTATTGGGAATCAAGCAGTTTCTCTCATTTGCAGTGCTCTGGAATAATTTATAGAACATCAAATCATTTTATCTCTGAAAATTTGGTAGAATTTTCGTGCATAATTATCTAGATCTAGAACATTTTGTAGGGTATTTCTATAATGATTTTCTCTGTTTCTCCTAAGGAAATCAGTCTATAACTCCTCAGTGTAAATGTATCAGTTCTGGTACTCTATATTCCCCTAGGAAATTATTCACTGCGTCTGGGTTTCAAATTTATATCCACAAAGATCTGCAAAGTAGATTCATAACATTTTTTAAACTTATTTAAGTGTTTATTTTTCATTATTTCTAATTTTGTATAGACTTTTTCTTTTTCTCTTTCTCTCTTTCCCCCTTTGATCAAATTAGCAAATGATTTATAAATGCCAATCTTTTCAAATAGTAATATTTTGAGGCATATTAAAAGCCAATTGATTTTTTTTTCTGTTTTCTATTTCATTAATTTCTGCTTAGCTGTTTATTACCTCCTTCTTTGCACTTCCTTTGGTTTACTTATTTTTATTTAAGACTCCCTTAACCAAGATATTAATTATTTATGTTATTTCTTTCATCTTTCACTGACAAAAGTGGTTAGTGTTGTAAATTTTTCTCCAATTAGTGCATGAATATTTTTCATCAATTTTCTTAATTAATATCCCCACTACCATTATTTATTTTGAAATTCTGTGGTCTCAGATTATATTTATTCTTTCACCTGAGGGATGCTTAATCAAAGATTTACTCACTAGGTGAACAGGATTTTCTGTCCCTTGTTTTTGTTAACAACCTCTAGCTTCATAGCAAAGCAGTCTAAAAATGTTTTCTGCAGCATCTCTATATTAAAAATGGACATTATTTTCCTTTTAATCAATTTTTATATATTTTCTGTGCAAACTTGAGAAGGTTTTTCTCTACTATAAGTATATAGATGGACATATATCCATAAAATCTACCTTATAAATTAAATTGTAGGTGCCCTCTTGTTTCACTGATTTTTTTCTACTAGATATGCTTGTTCTGAGAGTGGTATATTAAAGCTTTTCATTATTAATATGTTTCTATTTACATCTTCTAGATAGATAGATAGTTATGAATTCTGTGTTCTGGTACAATTAATAAAATACCTGTGAATATAGTATATACCTTTTTAGGCATTGTTTCAGAGAATATATTTGAGGAAAGCTTCTAGATTACTATCTTTTTCTTAAGTTAACAATAAAAATGGTGTTTAAATATTTAACGAAATTTACCTTTGAAGTCATCTAAACCTAGAGCTTATTTTGTGGAAAGCTGTTTTGAATAATGTATTCATTTTCTTTAATATATAAAATGCTATTCAGATTTACTCATTAATTTTGATAATATTTTAATTAAAAGAAACTTTCCATTTCATCCATGTTGTGGAATTTACTGGCATAACATCCTTTCTACTTATCCACTATTATTTTTAGAGTCTGTTAGATTTAAAAGGTGTTGATTCTATCATTCTTCAGATTGGTAATTTGTGTTATCTCTCCTATATTCTTAATCAATTTGTTCAGAATTTATCAGTTTGGCCTACCAAACTTGTGTATTATTTTCTTTATGGCATGTCCTTTTCTGTTGAATTGTTTCCGTTTGTGTCTATTTTTCCTTCATCCTTCTTACTTTATAGTTAATTTTATGTTATTTTCTAGCTGTTTAAATAAACTTAGAACATTAATTTTAAATATCCTTTTTTTCTAACATAATATTTTAAAATTATAAATTATATAAAATTATATAAATTTAAATTATATATTTATATTTATATATTTATATAATTTTATATAATTTATAATATATAGTTTATATATATTTTTATATATATATTATATATTTATATTTATATTATATATATATTTATATAAATATAATATATTTATATATTATATTTATATTTATATATTTATATATAAATTATATAAAATTAAAATTATATAATTATATAATATATAAATTATATAATTAAAAATAATAAAAATAAAATTATAAATTTCCCTCTAATCACTTCTTCATTGGTAAGCCATACATTGGTACATTGCATTTCTTTATTAATCAATTTTAAATGTTTTCCAATCTTCCACATGATTCTTTTTTATTAATATATTATTTGAAGGGAGTTTTTCTGAATCCCAAAAGCCTTTGCCCTAGGTACCCAAGACTCTCCTATCCCATCCAAGAGTCATCTTGGTAGTGAGGGAGGTAGGTGGGAATCTCACTATGCCACTACTCCACCAAGAGACACACAGAGCCTGAGCCAGTGAAATTCCTTCTGCTCTTTCAAGCATCAGGAACCAGTGGGTCAGCCAGTGGTCAAGATAAACCAAAGACACAAAAATAACACTGCAGCAATTCTGAACTTTATGAATCATAGCTCACAGAACCCGTGTGCTAAACCTGAACAAGAGGACTGTCAACTTAGAAAAAGGGAGAGAGAGATTTAAATAGAACCAAGATGCTCTAACAAACAAAATTTCTCTTATACCATCATACCAAGAATCAACAAAATGACAACTTCAATGGAAAAAGATAGTCAACTGACCCTAACACTAAGTTAATCAAATTATCTGACACAGATTTTAGAGAAGCCATCAAAAAATGTTTCAATAATTAAATTCTCTTGAAACAAACACAGACAAATGCACATATATATACATATGCATACATATATGTGTACATGTGTACTTATATATAGTGCAAACAGCTACCATTAGAAAGCTGGAGTACATATATCAATATCAGACTAACTAGACTTTAAAACAAAGAATTTCAATAGTGATAAAGATGGACCCTTTTTATGATAAATAACATAATCGTTCAAAAAGATATAACAATTTAAAATTCATATGTACCTAACAACAGAGCTTCAAAATTCACAAATCAAGAATGGACAGGACTGAAAGGAGACTGCAATAAAAATAGATGGTTGCTCTAATATCCCATTTTGAATATTAAATAAAATAACTATATAGAAGATTATAATATAAATGGTTGAAGAAAATTATAAACCAACTAGACCTAGCTATCAAAAGAATACACAACTACAAGAGAACACAGATTTCTCTTAGATTTCTTTCAAGTACCCATATATAATATATAATATATAATATTCTCCAAGACAGAGCATGTGTGTGGAGTGTGTGTGTGTGTGTGTGTGTGTGTGTGTGTGTGTGTGTGTGTGTTAGTCACTCAGTCATGTCCATCAGGCTGTAGCCCACCAGGCTCCTCTGTCCATGGAATTCTTCAGGCAAGAATACTGCAGTGGACTGCCATTTCCTCCTCCAGGGGTCTTCTCTCAAGAGTTAAACCCGAGTCTCCTGCATTGCAGGCAGATCCTTCACTGTCTGAGCCGCCAGGGAAGTCCCAAGACAGACCTTTTGTAAAGCCAAAAGGAGCCAATGAGTTTAAATAAAACAAAGTCATGTGTAGTTCCATGCATAACCTGTCTTCAACTGATGAAGCAAGGCATACCTACACAATTCTTCCCTCTAAATGCTTCTAAAAAATATGCATTTGGGCCAGTTTAAGATTTTAGCAGTCTCATACTTTGACCCCCTATTCAGAAAGTAACTGTGAATAGACAGTTACGAGTATGTCATTTAAGTTACTCCAAATTTTAACATTAGTTACTAAAAACATATTTATAACTCACTAATTTATATTTTTGTCTTTGTTGATATTATTATTTATATATAATAAATAGCAAAAATTAACTAAATTTACAATAACAGGTTTGCTGAACATTACCCAGACTTACCAGGATCAAGGATACACTTTTCAGCCTGTATTCTGCCTCTGGCCTATGTTTGAATGGTTTCAGCCTACCAAAGCCATTGCCTTGTTATGAAAAAATAACAGGTCTCTTCCCAAAAGACATGCAGAGGCTGACCCCTTGAAAATTTCACTGAAACAGACCTCAAATTCTATTTTTACTGTGACAAGGTAAAATGAAATAAATGAAATAAAGCCCTTTGTTGCAGAT